ATTCAGTTCAGAGTAAGGCTTGGTCATTTTATATTTAGCAATTTTAATACTCTTGCCTATGAAAGAGTGTTTTAATGTTAGAGAGATTCTCATACTCTGAAAAGGGAAGGGGTGTATTACTGATTTAGAAAATAAAATTCCAAAGTAAAATAAAGGGAAAACACTGTGTTTAGAGAATCAACCTAATGTCCCAGGGTCAAATTAAAAGAAAAAGTTGCTTTATCTGCCTCACAATCTCCTTTTTTATACCCTTTCCTAAACATTTTCACCCATTTTCTTATCAACCACAATTCTATAAGTTGAAAAATCAGTCAGGCTAATGTGAAGGATAGGGGGTCAGTAACCATTCCCACTCTGGTAAGAAATTGCCAAGCCATTGATCAAAACTATGTTTTGAGAATCCACTCTGTGAAAGGTATTAAGAAAGGACAGGTCTTCCTCTTAATAAACAAGTTTTTTTTTTTTTTTTTTTTAATCATCTGGCTAAACTAAGGTAGAACGGTAAGAGAATAAAACTTTGGGATTGAAGAAATTATATGAGGCTGGAAACAAGCAAGTTGGAGGCATGAAACACTATGGGTTTGGGGAAGTGAGGATCCTGTACAAGCATGAGCCAGTGGGGAAAAAAAAAGAGCTACCAGGAAATTAGGATGACCACAAAAGAAAATTTTCTCTGGTCAGAAATGTTGCCTGTATCCTACGACAAGGAACTTTCCTGACCTAAAATGGTGCTCCCACAACTCACCACAGTGACCTTTCTGGATAACAAAGCTGTTTTTCAGACTTACTTATTAATATATATTATATATATGTGCGTATATGTGTGTGTGTGTATGTGTGTGTGTGTGTGTGTGTGTATCTGAACATGCGTTTCAACCTATAGAGTACTAGGTCTTTGTTCACAGGTTTGTGATGATACTATTCATTGAAAATGAGCTATGATTTGGGAAATAGGCCAGCATTTTTTCATATGAAGTAACCTCTGTATTGGCTAATAAAAACTCCCCTGTTCAACACAGCAAGCCTTTGTTACCACGGTACCTCATTGGCTTTAGATCCTATCTGGAGGTCTGAGGAGAAAGTTAGACATTCATTCAGAAAGGCATGTATTGATCACCTATTATGCACCAAGAGCAATGCTGTAGGCTGGAGACCTGAAGATATATTAATGAAACATCTCACTCTGAGAAAAATCACCCTTTGAGATCCTACAGAAGCAACAATTAATTCTGCCTAGTGGCGTAGGGAAGGCTTTGGAAGATGCTGAGGTTCTGCCTGGTCCTTAAAAAACAAGGAGGTGGAAAAGGAGGTCAAATTACCCCAGGTAGCTGCAAAAATCTGTGCAAAACTACTGAAATAGGAAAGTATGGCTTAATTGGGAGTAGTGAAGAGACTAGTAAAGCTGAAAAATATTGCCTGTACAACTTTTTATGCGTTTAGGACGACAGGCATTTTGATGCACTCCTCTTTTGTAAAGTACCTATTCAAGTCTATGACTATTTCACTATTGAGTCATTTGCACTTTTCTTGTTGATTAATAGAAGCTCTCTATATATTCAAGATATGAGTCCTTTCTTCAGATACATATACTGTAATTATCTTCTACATGTTGCTTTTCTCTCTCAACGATGTCTTCTGAAAGGCAAAGGATCTTAATTTAACATAGTATTTTGGGGCCTTGTTTAAAAACTTTTTCAGCCACACTATTTATCATTCCCCAAAGCTGGACGCAACCCAAATGTCCATCAAGAATAGAATGGAACCAGGTACAGTGGCTCATAGCTCATGCCTGAAATCCCAACATTTTGGGAAGCCAAGGCAGGAGGAACATTTGAGCCCAGGAGTTTGAGACCAGCCTTGGCAACATAGTAAGACCACATATCTACAAAATATTTAAAAATTAGCTGGATGTGGTGTTGCATTCCTGTATTCCCAGCTACTCAGGAGGCTGAGGTGAGAGGATTTCTTAAACATGGGAGGTCAAGGCTGCAGTGAGCCCTGATCATACCACTACACTCCAGCCTGGGTAACAGAGCAAGGCCCTGACTAAAAAGAAAAAAAAAGTAAAATGGGTAAATATTCCTTCAATGGAACATTATACAATGATAAGCATAAATCAGCTTTAACCACCTGCACAGTATGGATAAAAGAAACACAATGCTGAGTGACACAGTAGAATAACTACTGCATGGCTCCATCTATTTAAAGTTCCAAAAGATAAAACTCATCCATGGGGTTAGAGGCCAAGACAAGTATTAGCCCTGGGGTGATACTGACTGGGTGGGACCTCCAGGGGCTTTTGGGGCGCTGGTTGTATTCTGTTTCATGATCTAGCTGCTGGTTTCATGCACATGCAAATTCATCAACACACATTTTTCTACACTTATGTTACACTTTTATAAAATATTTGCATTTAAAAATGTAAGAAAAGACCACCTAAGGAAGAATGGTAGCCAAGTTTTGTTTCTTAACAAAAATTTCAGAATTTGCAGATCCCGATTAATAAGTTAAGGGTATATAAGAAAGTTTTTACATTCGGGGCTTTAGAAAGACTAACTTGCTCTGAGAAGGAGGGGGCTGTATGGATATGATGGGAGGTAAGGAGACCCATTTGGAAATGCTACAACTGTTCAAGCAAGAGATGAGGAGGCCTGGTTAGAAGCAGAGGCCTTCACTGTGTATAGAGATGATCTTGCGTTTTTTTCACTGAGTGTTTCTTTAAAATCCGTGCACCAGTGTCATAAGACCAGAAGCACCTGCACAACATGTGGGGGGCAAAGGCCTACAAGTCTTCAACAGATGTTGAGTTTTCAAACAATGCTAGATCTTGATAAACAAAACTCTCTCCTAGATTTATTAAGCCCAAGCATTTTTGTCTGGCTCTTGTCTTAGACTGCACGACATGAACGCTGGTACAAATCCACATATGGATTAGTGGAAAGTTATAGAACTGACATAATATTGTTCTGATACATTTTTCCTTTCCTCCTTTCCACCACCCTCCCCTGCACACTATTCAAGTCCTCTTGCTGGGTGGTTTCCACTTGTCTCCTTAATTCCATCCTATGTCTGCACACTTGTTAGGAGAAAGAGTGATTCCTTTTCTGGAAAATGAGGAGCTCTGGAAGGCAGCAACTGCACAGGCAACTCAGGTAGGCAGAACGATGTAAGCTGGATCACGGCCAGACCTCCAGGCTCAGACAGTGCCACAGAGTCTCCCATAGGCCCAGTGTCAGGACCACACTGGTGCCACCTCCAAGAGACAGTAGGGATGAGACAAACCCCTAGCTGTCATCAGTGTTGTTCCATTATGTTCACTGGCAGATATTTATTGGGCATTTCTGACTGAGCCACCCACTCAATTGCATGCTTCATGGGAAAGGGCAGGAAGGAAACATGAAATCTATCCCAACTGCTTGAAGTGAAATCATGATCAAAAGAACCAGTGTGTACCCTACTACTTCCTGCCTCAGGCCCTGCAAGAGTAGACTCTGCCTGCCCAAGATTTTATTTTATAAAGAAAAAAAAGTACATAAAAACTTAAGCACAGTATCTCCAAGAGCAGAGCCATGAGCTGAGAAGACACAATGAATTGCAGGTCAAGCGATGGGTTCTGATTTCCTAATCTTTCCAACATTTCTCCTTGGAGCTGGTGTTCTCATACCATCGTAGATTTTACCATGAGATGGTCTCTCCTTGTACATTTCCAAACCCTCTTCTATGCTTTATATCTTATCACCTTATGGAAAGGCTGCTCATATGGTTCAAAACAAATTCCAAACTACCTTCCTGAGTTTGCCGTATGGCCCTCTCCTGGGAAGCTGAGACGTCAGAATCAAAGTCACTCTGCCCAGAAAAAAAAAGCAGGATGTCTCTACCTGTCTTTTCTGAAGGAACACCATTCCTGCAACCCACTGTTCATCCCCAAGGACTCCCACTTCTGCTGGACAAAAGTGCAGTGGCTTTCTCACGTGAGGAGATACAGTCTCACTCACCAACCTGCGATAATTCCTGAGTCTACTTCAGGTTACACACTGACAGTTGTAGAGTGGCTGCAACATTAATAGTAATTTAGAATCATGAGAAGCAAGGTTTCTCCCAGGCCAACTTAAGCCTGAAAAGTCCCCAGGACTAATCAGCCTCCAATTTACTCATGAAACAACATAACTCTCTTATTTCCTGGCCAATGAGTCATAAAGGGCACCATTCGTTTCCGGGGCATCCACTCAATCACTTCTTAGAAGGAAGCTTTGAGTGGCCATGTACCAGACCTGTCCCCTCATTAGATACAGCAAATCTGTGTCTCCCCGAGGTGAATCCTTCACTGTTCCAAAGCACATGGAGAGCAATATCTTAGCTGATTATGCAGTAGACACCTAAACTTGGAATACTATTGGCATTTTTAGTCTTAAAATGAAAATGGCACTAGAAGTTTTCCCATCTTTTTCCCCCTCCTGTTGCACATTTATTTTGAAGCCTGGCTCATCTTATCTTCTGAACTGGTAGACATCATATGTAGAAGTGTTTCTTAGACACTTCCACCAAAGTTATTTTAGTATATGAGAACACTGTACTAAACCAGAGATTTGAGGGGTGAACACATACCATCATAATTACAATTTTTTTCTCTGAAATCTTGTGTTTATCTTTAAAGTTCATGTACTATTTATTTACTCCTCTACATTACTGTGCCCTTTTTAATACAGAACTAGCATTACAAATTGCATAACATCATTTTTAGTTGATGCTCAAGAAAACTGCACCTGGTTCTATTCTATAGATAGTCTTGCATGGTTTTGAGAAGCAAAGGACAAACTTCATAAGACCCTTTGGCAGATGGAAATAGTAATTTATTTTAGTAAGTGTTAATTAGCATATTAAAATTGAGCATACAGGAAAATGCTTGTTAGATGTCGCATGTAGACGGAAGCAAAAGAAAAGCAAGAAGGAAAGAGAAAGAAGGATAAGAGCTCATTCTTTGCCCCCTGCCCCTTTTTTAGGAGAAAGAACCCTGGGAAGAGTCTGTATCACACTCTTCCATAGCAACACGAGGACAGAATGGGACTTTGAATTCAAGTGGGTGGTTGGTTCTTCCGCACTTACAAAGCCAAGCCTATACCTGCAGGTAATTTTTCTTTAATTTTTTAAATTTTTATAAATTAAGGGAGTAAATGTGCAGTGGCGTTACATGGATATATTGCATAGTGGTGAAATCTGGGCTTTTCATGTACCTGTCACCTGAACACTGTACGTTGTACACTATAGGTGTTATTTCATCCCTCACATTCCCACCTTCCCACCTTCCCACCTTTTAGAGTCTCCAGTGAATTTTATTCCACTCTGCACAGCCTTGTGTACCCGCTGTTTAGCTTCCACTTACAAGTGAGAACATGTAGTTTTCAATTTCTGTTTCTGAATCATTTCACTTCAGATAATGGCCTCCAGTTCCATCCATGTTACTGAGAAATATGATTTTATTCTTTTTATGGCACCAGCAGATAATTTTATCTTGTATCTCTTTGTGGAACAAATTACAGGAATCCCGACAGGGATGACCTGCTCAGTGCTCCAGCCTGGCCAGTGCTTCATAAACATATCATTTCATAGCTATGATCCTAATTCATCCCCAAAGTCCTGGGGAAAGTCTTCTTTAATGAGTGTGGAAGGAAGGCAATAGTGATAACACAAAAGTGGATTTCCTCATAGTCAAAAGATAGGACTATGGAATGGAATTTAGTAAGGAGAGTGTCTTGGGTGCTGGAAGACTCTAAGTCTAGTGGGTACTAATTATCGTAATGGTCACATGGCTCATCAAAATCTATGTGTGAGTTTTGTATTATACCACAAGCTCAAACTAAGATAAGACACGCTTATTAGACTCACAGACCTCAGTAGCACAGAGCCCACTTATGGCTGGTTCATATATGACATTGTCTAAGGCCCTGTTGTCATCTCAACTCCTCTTCAGCTCCTCCAGCCTCTTCCAAACAAAAACTTGAATAGAATCAAAACCACAGTTACTTGTGATGTTTACCTTGACAGAAAGTCCAACTGTCATGTCTCATAACCTCTGGATTGTTTGTGGTTCATTTTTCCTTCCTTTCTATTTTAAGTCAGGGTCTAGAAGCAGAGCCCAAAGTGGGGATTCACTTGGAAGTAATTTATTGATAAAGGAGAAAGGAAAAAAAGGAGAAGCAAACTAAGGGTGTGGTCTCAGCTGGCACCTAATCGCGGTCCGATCCCACAGGGAGCACTGGAGCATGGATTGCACCACAGAGTGGCCTCCCTCCCTTTGAGGCAAAGGGTCCTTTCGTGCCCCTGCATCAGTCAGTCATTGGCTGTTGGCCACTCCCAGGGGCAGGGGAGTTGCATAACTTCCCAGGCAATTCCAGGCTAGGCAACTCCCATCTGGCCAAGAGCAATTCTCCAAAGAAAGAAGCAGCTGTGAACCACTAAGAACCAAAGCTAATAGCACGTGCATATGGAAACACCAGCCTGGTCAAGGGGATCTCAGTGTGTCAACAACAGCATTCTTATACTTACCATCTTATTTCAGTCCAAAAGATACTCCTTTGGACAATGTTCGGGTTCCTAATGCCTCCTTTAAACAATTCTAGTGGAGCAGAATATAATAATATACCAACTCATAGTGTTTTATTAAGAGCCTGCTGTGTACCAGTCACTTTTCTAAATGTATCAGGTTTACACAATAATCTATAAAGCAGGCTTGATTATTACTCATATGTTACAGATGAGAAAATGGAGTGACAGAGTAACTAATGAACTAATCAAGCTAGTAAGTGGCAGAGCCAGAGTTAGGACCCATTTTCTTAAAAATGCATTAAACTTCCTCCTGCCTGTAGCCAAAGGGTAGCAGCAAAAGAGAAAGAAAAATAAGCTCAGAGCTAAAGTGGTAAAATTCAATTATATGAGATACCACACCCAACTAGGTGAGAAAAAACAACAACAAAAAAAGCCTTTTGAATTATGGATATAAGAGCTTGAGGACAGTTAATAGTCTTTTGTGTGTATGTGAATTTCAAAAAAACATCTTGCAGTTTTATCCACTTGGTTGATGTTCACCATTTGAACTTTCAACATTTAAATCTCATGAAAGTGCTGTTGCATAAGACGTGACTCTATGCCAAAGGAAATAATAGCTAACACTTGTTAAGTAGTTTCTGTGTGCCAGGCACTCTTCTAAGCCATTTACATGGACTATATCATGTAATCCTCAGAACCTTGCCATGAGGCAGCCTCGTTTTCAGATAAGGAAACTGAGGCACAGAGAGTATAACTAATTTGTCTGAGCGTATATAGATAGGAAGCATCAGGGCCAGATTTTCAAGTGGGCAGTCAGGCTTTAGAGCTTATGTTCCTGCTTCCACTACCATGCTGTCAGAAGAGTTGTAGATGGCTGGAGCTGGGACTCATGTTGGAGAGTCTAACTTCTCCAATTTAAGATGGGAAACTGAGGCCCAGAAAGCATTGGTAATGTCCACAAGGTCACACAGACCCAGGATGCTTAATTTTCATAACAGTGCTATCTATATTTTGACAAGTTTTGTTAAAAAAATATATATAAACCAGAGACAGTGTCATTTAATTGACAAGAATTCAGGAGTGGGTTTTTAAATGTCTGAAGTCTCTTTTATTCTTCTCTCCCAGGAAGCGATAACACCAAGAGTTGTTTAGGAAGGCAAGGAAGAAACATCAGTGTCCTGTCTAGCATCAGAAAAAAACGACTTCTTATTTCTACTACTGTTATGAATCCCTCACTCATGTACACCTTTGTGATGTGACTTCCAAGTTACTATTCTATTTTCTGGCTGGAACCTGCAAATTCCAATCTGGAAGTATATCTCTTTAGGGAAAGGGAAGGAGGACCAGAACCAGTGTTTATTAAATACCTACTAAATGTCACATTTACTATGCATAGTTCTATATATGCTATGTAAATTACCCATAAAAAAAATCATTGGCATCACAAAGTGTGTCAGCTAGCATTTGCTGCATAACAAACCAACCCAGAATGCAGTGACTCAAAACATATTATTGCTGGTGAGTATATGGATCAGCTAGTGGTTCTGCTGAGCCTTACCAGGCTTAACTGATTCCAGCTGGATTCACTCATGTTCCTGCAGGTAGCTACTGGATTAGGTAGGGGCTGGCTGGTATAGGACGCCCTCAGCTGGGGTGGCTCATTTCTGTTCCATATCCTACAAAATGATATTCCATGCATGTTCATGTGGTACTGGTAGAAGAGAGTAAGCAGAAGCCTAAGGCCTCTGAGCCCTAAGCTTAGTTTGAACACACCATCCCTTCCACTCCATTCTATTGACCAAATCGAGTCACAAGCCTGGCCTAGATTCAAGGGGCAAGGGGAGAGAAAAACAGATTCCACCTCTTGATGGAATGAGCTGCAAGGTCACGTGGTCAATGCCATGAATACAGAGAGTGATAGAAAATTGGAAATTTGTCTGCAATGAACCAACCACAAATGCCCTGGAATATTCCAGATCACCTAAGCTGTATGTTTTTCTCCAAAAACATGTTTCGCTTGCATATCTAGACTACCTTTGAAGATTTTAGATTTCCCTTTAGATTCACTTACAGAAAAATTCAGGAAAGATGCTGTAGGGTTTTCAGATGGCATATAGGATTTTCAGTTTACCCAAGTAAGACAAATGACCATCTAAACCCAACAAAAGCCTATGTGCTTTTATTCCAAATAACAGCAGGACAAAGCTAACTCTACTTCTCCCCTCTTTATCTACTACATCACTCACTGTTTGAAAGAAGAATAAACTAGACAGGAAGCTTGATACTCCTGCCAGTTGGGTTTGGTAAGAGACCAGCCCAACAGCCAAGTATCTGCCTTAAGGGAAGACCCGTGGCCTCAGCCAAAATAGAAGCACACCTAGCCATGGTGTTTTGTTTCACAAATATAAAATAAAACATGTTATTTAAAAAAACCCAAAAACCTCTAAATCAGAGATCACAGATAGTTTTTATCCTATATGCCAACTCCAATTGGTTATTAGAAGCTTCCAGGGGTGCTATGTTGGAAATATTAGGCTTCAGGCAACTCTAACAAAATTAGTAAAGCACAAGAATTTTCCAGCAATAAAATGTCAGTGACTGATTCCCACCATTAGAATAAATTTACAGGGTAAGCATATTCTCATCTCCTGGGCCTCTTTCTTTCTCTCTACTTCTACCTGGGCTGTTTTTGAGAAAGGCAAGTAGAGCAGCAACTTTCTATCATAGACTCTGGAGATGGACACAACTTGACTTTTTTTTTTTTTGGCCTTTTCAAGTGTGTAGATGGTAAAGATCATGGAAGAACACAGGTATATCTATAAGTACAATCTATTCCAAAGATCAATATATTGGTCCAGACTAAATCTAACCCCAGAAGGAATATTTCTAAAACCCAGAAATAATTCAACAGTATCACAGCAGGGTGCAAATTTTTTTTTGCTTGCTCTAGGCCTACCTTGACATTGTTCTCAAGATAATATCATCTATCCACTGAACGGAGAGGAGTCTCAAGCTAGACCTGGATGGTCAGGCTCTAACTTAAGGAGAAACATCTCAGACCCAGAACAAGGCTTATCAATGACACAGCAATGCACATGGTATAGTGAAAAGAACACAAAACACAAAGGTTCAGATTCTGCCTTTGCAAGTTTAACATTTCTCCCAGAGTCTCATAAGAGATGTAATATAACCACCTCAGAGTTTGTAATGAGAATAAAATGGGCAAACATGTAAAGCACCCAGAGTAATAACTAGATCATACAGTTAGAGAGGCTAGACTCCCTAACTATAGCTATTATTATTAATTGCAAGGCAATAATAATAATTTTTGTTTGTTTTGTTTCCTTTTTTTCCCCATTTATTTATTTTATTGCATTTTAGGTTTTGGGGTACATGTGAAGAACATGCAAAATTGTTGCACAGGTACACACATGGCAGTGTGATTTGCTGCCTTCCTCCCCATCGCCTACATATGGCATGTCTCCCCTTGCTATCTCTCCCCAGCTCCCCACCCACCACTGTCCCTCCCCTATTTCCCCCCAACTGACCCCAGTGTGTAGTGCTCCCCTCCCTGTGTCCATGTGTTCTCATTGTTCAACACCCGCCTATGAGTGAGAACGTGCAGTGTTTGATCTTCTGCTCTTCAGTCAGTTTGCTGAGAATGATGGTTTCCAGGTTCATCCATGTCCCTACAAAGGACCCTAACTCATCGTTTTTGATGGCTGCATAATATTCCATGGTGTATATGTGCCACATTTTCCCTATCCAGTCTATCGTCGATGGGCATTTGGGTTGGTTCCAGGTCTTTGCTAC